AGAAAACAAGACTGTGCCAAACTCTAGTATCAGGTGAATATACAGTATCATGAGAAGCACATCAAGACGTAAATCAGATCATTCACTGCCGAGTCTACAAAGCATCCCTAATGCCCATGCTCCTTTAGCTGCCATATTTTCTATATGCGGACTCCAATTTAGGTTTTCGGTATAAGTAATTCCTAAATACTTAACCAATTCCACCTGCGGGATAACCTTCTGTCTGTAAAGTACCAAAACCTGCACAGGAACACTTAACAGAAAACTGCTATTGCACTTTTACTGATTTTTAATGATATATTAATGCCATCCAACCACGTGTCCAGAACATTCATATAAAACTGTAGTTTCTGATACAGCATACGTATATCTGCTGCTGTAGCAAAAGATGTGATGTTGTCAGCGTATACATACACACCTGTATGTCACGTTGTGCAGAAATCATGCAAAGTAAAACATTAAATAATAATGGAGAATATACTGAACGTTGGGGGAAACATCTAGTTCGTTTATAATTTGAAAAAGACACACCAAATTGAGAGCGAAAAAATTCTCTGCCCTTTAAAAGGAATAAGCCCATGCAATGAAGTAATTTGGTAAACCTACGTGCGTGAGCAAACTTATTAGTTTAACAAGTTCAACACTGTCGTAAGCTTTAGCAATGGCTAGAGTTACTGCAACATGTTTCTTAGAACGAGCAAGTTTTGTTTCCTGCTTTGCAAACCAACATGGGCACACCAAATGGAGCAGCCACGCCTGAATCCAATTCGGCATGTGCTGAAAATAATTTTTTCTTCTAACCAGTTGTCTATCCTAATGTGTAGAATTCTGTCGCTTAGTTTTACCAAATTTGATGCGAGTGCAATATCCTAATGTAATCTAAAGTAAAGCAAGCTCTATGTTCTTTAATAAAGGAATTATTTTCGCGATTCTCCACTCAGGCAGAATCCACCACTTTTTAATGGAGTGTTTAACTATTGCAAGTAAGATTCTCGGGAGATACTTTATGTATTATATTTATCACCGATTAAGCTATGCCGTCAGGACCTGGAGCAGAATTGGGCAAGATTTTAACTATCGAAGTGTCCTATTCCTGACACTATAACCTCTTCAAAGTGGTCGCTTTTAACAGGAGACTGTAAGTGGTATAAGGATGCAGCCGTGAAGCGACCTTCAAGTCCTTTAGCAATATTTTCCACAAAGCTAGACAGCTCAATTGGCATTGAAACTATCACTTTGATGTTTACTGGTGATGAAAGCACTTTTTTCGCTTTGAGAAAGTTAAAGAGTGATTTCTTGTAGCCAGGCTTTGAAAGGAACTCGGAATATTGACTACTGTAACTATCCTTCACAGCGGCAGCTGTTCGCTTAAAACTGCAGCCGCGTATGTATAATCGCTCCAGATTCTAGGGCATTGGTTATATAGAGCAGTTTTCGCCATGCCGCTTTTCTTAACCTATAATGCCGTGAACAATCAGAGTTCCACAAATGATTTCAAGGGCCTTGTTTAGAGACCTGTACTGTGAATTTAGCTTTATTTAAAGAATGTTTTATAACAATATAATTCTTAACATTTCACTATTTTTATCTGTTTGTTTTGACAAAGCCACACGTAGTGTATTTTCAAATGTATTAAAATTGATGCGAGAAATTCACTGCCTAACTACCGAAGTCATGGGACATACAAGCTCAAACAATACCGGAAAATGGTCGCTATGGAAAGACTATGAAAAGTAAGATCTATCGCAGAATGAGACTGATTGCACACAAACTGTGGGGGTTCGCTGATTAATGCATATTAAAATATTTTTAGTTAACAAAATCCAACAAGTTCTTCCCACTCATATCTGTTCTGAAACCCCACAAAGTGTGATAAGGTTTACTAATAATATTTCTTTTCTGCAAGATGAAAGTATGTTATCTAAAACATAAGAATTTTGAACACCTGATGGAAAATAAGCATTTACTAAAAAAAGGGAAGGCATCCCAGACGAGAGGTGCCTAACGTTAAAATTTCACTTTCTAAATTAATTACTTGACTTGTATTTTTTACCCGATGCGCGATTTGTCAAGATATAAACATTGCTAAACCACCAGCTAGAGAGGGACAGTCGAAGCAAAATATGTGGTAGTTTTTAAGATGAAAGCTTTTTTATTTGGAAAGCCAAGTTTCTTGCAATACTATAACAACTGGAGAATGTTGATTACAGAGGTAATATAAATCAGTAGAGGCAAAAAACAACAACCGGCTATTCCACTGCAACATTTTTAATGCATTTATTTTGAAGATGTACTAGCAGCATTCACTGCGTTCTGCAATAAGCTATCTCTCAAAAAATTCTTTTTTGATGCCATTTCTTTCTGATACTTTTTATTTCTCCCCTTAGGACTCACTAAAGAACCTTGCTTTTCAGGCGACACCCGCAGTTTCATATTTCTTGAGTCGAATTCTATTTGCGAGTCCTGGGAACCTGAATCAGAGCTCCAATGCAAATGTTCAATGGGAATTATTCTACGGGTGCTGTCCGACGGGCCGGCTCTTGATGAATGTAACTCTTCAACAGGTGCTGTAATCATGTAGCTGGATTTTGAAGGCCCCGGTTCTAGTGATCCTGTATGTATACCTCCTTAGCTGAAGAAACTAGAGAGGTTGTATCTGAATGGTTAACATTCATCAGGGCTTGAGTCGTCTGTGCGTTTACTGATTGATTGATATGTGGGGTTTAACGTCCCAAAACCACTATATGATTATGAGAGACGCCGTAGTGGAGGGCTCCGGAAATTTAGACCACCTGGGGTTCTTTAACGTGCACCCAAATCTGAGCACACGGGCCTACAACATTTCCGCCTCCATCGGAAATGCAGCCGCCGCAGCCGGGATTCGAACCCGCGCCCTGCGGGTCAGCAGCCGAGTACCTTAGCCACTAGACCACCGCGGCGGGGCGTCTCTGTGCGTTTACTGTTTGAGCTAATGACTCCATCAGCATTACAAAATGATTTTTCAACAGCTTTGTAATTTTCTTCTCAACAGTCCAGGCTCTCATTTCTGAGAGTGATAAATTTGCAACATGATCATTACAGTTCATAACATCAGCGTACCCACGAGAGCGCTCTGTGATGGCAATTCGAGCTTGACGTCTGGAACGTTTTTGTTCAATTATTTCCATTATTTGGATCTCCTGAGCTCTTGCAGGGTAGCTACCATCATCAGCTAAGTGAGGGCCACCGCAGAGACAACAAAACCTTTCCTGAGCTGCACATTCATCAACATGCTGTTGTCATGCACATCTTTGACATCAGACTACTGATCTGCAACCCTTTACGCTGTGTCCAAACTACCAGCACTACATCCGCCATTTTATTCTAACTTCTCCCTTTACTTCCACTCTTGTTTCACTTCATTCTCTTTCGTGCACTTATAGCAAGCCGCCTCAATAAATATGTGTTGCTAGCATGGCTGACTCCTATTGAACATGTGTGCATGCTGTTAGCAAGTTTCCAAGCATCACTGTTGCACATAAGTCAGTTCAAATCGGATATAACATTCCCAGTGTCAAATGACATAAATTAGCTTCAAGTGCTCCTCAATAACGTCAAAGACAAGGTTCAACTAGAGAGAGGCTCATGATAGATGAAACAACATAAATAAGAAATCTCTGTGACACAGCTTTCCAGTTGCTTACTGAAGTCACCAAAACAGTACTGGTGGGATAATTAGCTCATATTTGATGCCTATAAGATTTCTGATGTGCCTGTATGCTTTGGCCAATCTCAACTAAGATGTCATGCCGAATTGAGCATGCTTAGAAAAAAGCATCTGTGTTAACTGTAGGTTAATTTTACAAGGAACGAAATTTTTAACCTTTATTTTTATTGCACTATTTCAAATGAAGAAAAAAAAAGGTTCATTACACCTTACCAGTGCCTGCCATATTATTCATTTACCCATTTAGTCGGTGATTCCTGTATTTGCAAAGATGAGATGCTTGCATTATAATCCTAACAAAATAAAGCTTGTTTCAAAGTTCAATTTTTTAGCTCCAATGCACTGAAACAAGAGCACCAGATACATTTTAAGCAACTCTGGCACTTGTAGCTTGTGATGCCAGATGCGATAATAAATATACAGAAAACGCATGAAAATGAGATTCGGTCATCTTCACTTACCATGCTTAATGCTTATCAATCCCATCACAACATATGAAAAACAGATGATTCAGACGAATGACAACATATTGTATAGAAGAACACTGTTTTTCTAGGATTCAGAATACACGATGATAGCAGTTCTGTCAAAAAGTTTGATGAAAAGTAGCACTAGGAAAGAGAGCAATGGGAGGATCCCCAGATATTACAAAAGACAAGGAAGTTAGCCACAAAACTAAATTTAGCTGGCTATGCCTCTAGCATTCTCTGTGGTGAAGTAAAGGTGCAAGTTAGAGATATTGCAAAAGCATGAGAGAAAACAGTTTTTGAGCTACGGTGCTGGCATCCAGTTTTAAGAATCCTCTGGAATGTAAAACGAACCTATTCCTCACTTATAAAACAGATTAATGCTGAATGTTCATTTGACTCAAAAGTCGAGAAACTAAAACTTTATTTTTGTCATGTCACGAGCGCTACCAATTCAATATAGCAAAAAATGATGCCAGCCAAAGTGTAAGGTAACAGAAAATTAAGTTTCCTATAAGCACGCTGGTTAGATGATATTCTTTAGTATACAGAGAAATATTCAGGTTAGCTCAGTAAGCTTGTATTAAACAAATCTCACTAGAGTTAACACATTCATGGTGTCACCAGGAGTAATCAGCTGATCAATGGTACCTAACAGCAGTAATATACGGTTATATGGAGCACCCTGCATAGTATGGACAGAATGTATCGTTTTTAATTGAATGCCACTTGAGCATTAACATGACTTCTAGAGGTAACAAGGACTACTTCCCCAGGCATTCATGCCTTTGTAAAGTGTGAATGCAGTAAAATACAGAGCACATAAAAACGTTTCACAATAATATTTTATTTCTTGTGTCTAAAACATACTTTCTGCATGCTTTTAACAGAGCACAATAGCTGCAACTACAGTATGAACAATGCAGATCTAGTGGATCACCATGAAGGAACACTGCTTTAAGCACAATAGCAGTACATTTATTTCACAACGAACACAGCTACCATATGAAAAGAAAAGCAGCAAAGGAAAAAAAAAGTTCAAGCTGCTAAACATGGCAGCATACAATGTATAAAACTAAATGCCACATAAACGTGTGCTCTTAAAGCTGGTGCACACAAGCGACTAGCAGCGGTCGCGCGACCATTTGTGACTGGTGACCAAAAAGCGGCTGATGTTCACATCGGCAGAGGCTGCATGCGAGCGACCGGAAGTCGCAGTAGCGGAGAGTCACGTCCGGATCTCGTTATCAGTGAGAACTCTGGAGACCGGCGCTGATCAGCTGATCGCCGCCAGCTGAGTGAGCGGAGCAAGCCAAGCGCGCCGCATTTCTTGTTCTTATTCGTTCTCATCAGTGCAATAAAAAAAACAAACAAAAATTGAGCATTGCTGATTGCTTCCAGTAGCTTTGCGACCGCAGTCGCGCAACTGAAAAATCGGTCAGGAAGCGACTAGCCAAAGCAGTCGCTTTGAGACCGTTCGCGACTGTTTTCAACCAGTCGCAAATGGTCGCGCAACCGCTGCTAGTCGCCGGTGTGTACCAGCCTTTATCCATCACGAATGTACACAGCCGTGAGTTGAAACTCTTATATATCCCTGTGAAAGACTTACAAGTTTAAAAGAAAAAGGAGCGTGTAGAGAAAGGAAGGCAAATAGTAGATCTAGCCAAGGTAACTAGAAATGCCATACATCTGCATCATACAAGAGAGAAGGCATGCGTACAGATTACAGCTCATGCTTCTTGGCACAATAGCAGGCCTGTTTTTGGGCATCCTTGTATGCCTTGCAGCCAAGGTATTGACTTCCTGTGTAGAATGCACGCGCTGCTGCTTTGCAACCTGAAAAGCAAAGCAAGGCAGCGCTTGATAAACAATACTAAGAGGAGAGGGAAGTGGAATATATCATGAACTAAACGATCAGCACAATCACTTATGTTCCAGCCAGTACAGGGATAAATTATGAGTCCTTGGGATATTTCACTATGCTAATATTATGTTTACTTGGCAGGGCATGAAAATAAGTCACCTGTGTTTATATTTAGAGCCCATAAAGTGTATGACAATACACGCATGATACCCAATGGTGCCGTGATGTCTAACTTGAGGCTGTAACCAGTTATATAATTGTGCACACATGCTTGCAAGGCATTACTTGAAGTGGATGCGCCTGGACACTCATTTGGAGGTACACACTTTTGGTATGAACTTAGTGGCTAGTTTTGGTACATTGTTTTGGTTGGCTTGGTGGTACACAAGGAAGTTTAATGAACCTTTTCGCAAAAGGAGCTAGGCGACCTCTCTTGACCAGTTGTGTTACGCTGTATGAGGACGGCAACGATAGCCTGGCCGCTAGCGTCGGTGTGCAGACAGGTAGGGGCATGATCGTCGAAGTGACAGAGAACGAGGTCAGATGTCAGCGCTGCCTTGAGGGTGTTTAAAGCAATGTCACAATCGGTTGTCCAAGAGAAGGCTGTTCCAGACGTCAGAAGCTTGCGTAGTGGCGATGCAATGGAGGTGAAGTTGCGAATGAAGCGGCGGAAATAAGAGGCAAGACCCAGAAAACTTCGTAGTTGCTTTGAATTGTCGGGCCGAGGGAAATATGTCACAGCCTTCACCTTGTTAGAATCTGGTCGAACACCATCTTTACTTAAAATGTGACCAAACACTATGATGTTTTTGCGGGCAAAATGGCATTTTTTTTTATTAAGTTGCAGCTCAGCATTAGAAAGAAACGTCAAAAGTTCGTCTAGCCACTCAAGATGCTGCCAGAAAGTGGAAGAAAAAAATGACGATATCATCGATTGATTATATATGGGGTTTAACCCCAAAACCACCATATGATTATGAGAGATGCGACGATATCAGCCAGATAACATAAACAGGTTTTTCACCTAAGGCCACGAAGAACGGTGTCTATCATGCGCTCAAATGTTGCTGGAGCATTGCATAAACAGAAGGGCATTACGCTGAACTCACAGAGGGCATCGGGTATTGCAAATGCTGTCTTGTCCTTGTCCGCTTTATGCATAGGTATTTGCCAATACCCCGAGCGTAGATCGAGGCTTGAGAAATATTCAGCGCACTGGAAGGAGTCAAGAGCATCGTAAATTCGTGGCATTGGATATAGATCTTTGCGCGTGATCTTATTTAGTGCTCGATAATCGACACAAAATCGCACCGAGCCGTCCTTCTTGCGAACCAGCACAACGGGCGACGACCAAGAACTTGACGATGGCCGATTTATGTCACGTTTCAGCATGTTAGTGACGTTGTCCTCGATGATTTTGCGCTCCGCGGTATACATGCAGTATGAGAGACGTCGTACAATAGAATTACCTTCTGTTTCGGTACGGTGCTCTACGACAGACGTGCGTCCGAGAAGGTTGGCAAGGATGTCGAAAGAAGCACTGTGAGTTCTAAGTAGCGCCAAGATATCCTCCTTTTGCCCCACAGGAAGATAAGGATTTATGGTAGCAATTAAAACAGTGGTCGTTGTATGGTTTTCGTTTGTAATAGGCGACACTGGTACATCATTATGAAGAGGCATTAGGCAAGAGGTTCGGTGTCAGCAATGCAGGCCAACCGGGTACCGCGAGGCAGAAGAAGTAGCGAAGATGTAGGGTTATGGGCAGTGATCAACGCTCGGCTGTCACTAAACCTGACCAAGCTAGGTGCAATAACGATCCCACCATATATCGAGTGATCACACTAGGACTCGCTCGCATGATTCCGTGCCGACTGGTTGTGCCCTCGCGATCTTCGACGACAGCGTAGCTCTGGCCGACTGGATTCGTCGTATGCCATCTCCTGACGTCGACAAGAGCTCTCATCGAGTGGTGCCCCGTCCTCGGACTCCTGTGACAGTTTCCATTTTTCCTATTTCCTATTTACTTCCGTCGCTCGTTGTCCCTGCGCCTCGCTCTCTCCTTCCTCCCTCTATATATATCTTTTAATCCTATACTTTTAATCCCTCCTTACCCCTTTCCCTAGTGAGCTACTGTTGAGGTGCCGCACCTGATGCAGACAGTTACGGGGCTCACTTTTCTCGTCTTTTCCCTTTAAGAACCACACAAGAAACACATCCCCATTAATGATCGCATGTGACATTAAGGTCAAGACATTCTCGTTGTCAGGTGAAATGGGACAATCGGCCACCGTGACGAAATGCATTTGGCGAGTATCGTCATCAGATGAAAATTTAGTAGACGTCATATTAAATACCCGCTGGTGGCGAAATATTACGGCCGACGCTGAGGAAAGGAAGCCCCATCCCAATATAAGAGCGTGTGGATATGACGAAAGCACTAGAAACGGAACATGATGAAGGATGCCATCGATAAAAACTCTCGCTGTGCACACACCGACGGGCCGAACAAGTACTGCATTGGCATACCGAAGAGGAGGTCCAGTGTATGGCGTCTTGATTGATTGATATGTGAAGTTTAACGTCCCAAAACCACTATATGATTATGAGAGACGCCGTAGTGGAGGGCTTCGGAAATTTAGACCACTTGGGGTTCTTTAACGTGAACCCAAATCTGAGCACATGGGCCTACAACATTTCCACCTCCATCGGAAATGCAGCCGCCGCAGCCGGGATTCGAACCCGCGCCCTGCGGGTCAGCAGCCGAGTACCTTAGCCACTAGGCAGTGTATGGCGTCTTCACTTTGCGCAACCGAGAACACTGTTCAGTACTAATGACAGAAAGCTCCGCACCTGTGTCTACCAATGCTTCAGTCCATACACCTTCAATACATACTAACAGGACATTTGAGGGCCTTTGCAGAGGAGTTTGGCTTGTCCTGAAACATGCAGCTTTCCCTACCATAGCTGCACTTCTTAGTTTTCCGGGCGGTGGCCCGGGGTCGAGGTAGCTGGTCATAAAAGACAAGAGTAGTGCCCCATCGATGACTGAGAGCGGCGACGCGAGAAACGAGAAATATCGGCTCCTTTGAAGCTCTGCGGGGATGGCGAGCGGTGTTCATACTGTCGGTAGGGTCGACCGTTTCGTGGTATCGGACCAGGCAGCTCATCTCTTTCACAGTAGTCGTAACTCCGCCTTTTGTCCTCTTGGCTGCATCGGCAAAATTGGGAAATATGATCACGCATCCCACAATAATAGCATACAGGTCGAGGTGGCCGCCAGGTGTTGGGAGGCAGAAGGGACAATCGTGGTGAGAGAGCAGTCATCGACCCGTGAATTTGAGATGTGTGAGGTGGTGTCTGAGAACAAAGCGCCAGCGCTGCAACCTGTGCATAAGTTGGCGTCGGTAGAGGGGCCTGGGGACTTCGGTAGACCTCATGGCAACAAGTTCTTCCCTGATGATGATGTGGAGGCTGCTGCCAGGCGGCGGCGTGTGGAGCTCAAGAGGGGAAGGCACAGCTTGTGCCTGGAGTTCCTCTCGTATGATGGTGCGGATTAATGCACGTAGCTCGCAGTTAGATGGTGCACTCAGATGAAACGTGTCAGGTTGCAGACGTACCAGATGGATCTCAAACACTCCAGGCAGCACCTGTCGAGTGGCTTCACTTCTACGCACACCAGGACTCCTGCCTGGGAGCTCATCAAGGCGCTGACATGTTTTGACGATTTGGGAGACAGTAGCAGGGTTCTGTATCGCAAGCGCATTGAATGCCGCAGCACCAATGCCTTTGAGCAGATGACGCACCTTGTCGTTCTGGGTCATTAGAGTTGTTCACTCGACGACAAAAAGCGAGGGACATCTTCAATATAGGACGTGTACGAATCACCGTTTTGCTGAACACACTCCGCTAGCGCCTTCTTCGCAATGTCTGAGCGAATAGAAGCGTTCACAAAAAATCTGTCGTAGCTGGTGTTTAAATGAGGCCCAATCCAGAAAGTCCAGCTCGTGATTAAAGAACCATGATTAAAGAACCAAGTTTTTCAACATCGGTCAGGTAAAAGGAGACCGGTGTGAGCTTCGCATAGTCATCCCAGTGGTTGAGGGCACTCGTGCTGTTGTACTCTTGCAACCAGTCATTGACGTCGTCACCACGAAGACCAGCGAATACCGGGGGATCCTTCTGCAGCGTGGTGATCAAGCAGGAAGATGCTGTCGGGGCAGACGTCGTGGGTGCTGCCGCGGAAAAGTCCTCGTCTTGTGACATTGCCAAGGTTGGTTCGGGCAAAGGGCGACCTGAACGGAGCTCCAGGAGTGTATTGAAGTGAAAGGCATAGAGGCAACGGTAGAGCGAGAGGACTGGGTGACCAGACAGCACACTCCACTACTTGAGAGACAACGTTCAAGCCTCCAAATCTCTTCTTTATTCACACTTGAGCCAAAGCCTCTCTGCCTAGACCCAAGCGGTGATGATAAGTATTTACAGGTGAGAAGGCGAATGATATGAATAGTGCTCACAATACAGATAACCATCAAATAGTAACCAACTGTAAGGATGATGATGATATATGTTTAATGGAGCAAGGGCCATTGATGGCCAAAGAGCGCCAGGAAATGATATCGGATGAGAGCAATGGTTATGGTAAATGACTGTAAAAAAGCCTAAAATTCTGCGCTCTATAGATGCGTAAGACATATATTTATTAAAATCATGAAAGTGAAGTGAAGCATGCCTGGTGAGAATGAGTCTTTAGTTATCATGACTTCATAAAATAGGAGCGTTATATTAGCACCGATTTCTCGCGAGCGCCCTTGGTCCCAAGGGCCGGAAGACAGGTGCTCTTTTGAATGTAGCATCCGCAGCAGCAGCCTCCTTTCAGAGGCCATGCTACTGATCACTTGAGTAGATAACATGGAAAGTATTTACTTCCTTTAAGAATGCATTCAATGCATTATATTTTAAAAAGAAGTTTGCG